GTACATAATTGCAATTGATATAGCCTAATTAGATGGGGCACATGGTCGAAAATATAGATTACCTAATGGGGATCGAAGTCACTACCAACTAGTAATTGATCTAGCAAGAGTAACTTGCTAACTATTACACCAGGTTTAAGTGCCCAAGGTAAAGACTTTTAAGAGAAGCTTAGACGTGGCACACGGTTGTTACTATGGAACACTTAGTAAGGATCGAACTCACTACGTGGAAGAGCTCAGTGTGATATTCTAAGCATAGGTTAGATGTGGCACAAGACTGAATGTATAGAGAATCCAAAGATGGTTGAATTCACTTCTCTGTGGTAATTGATCAAGCGAGACAAGCTTACTAATCATTACATCACGTTGTTATTTGATAATAGTATATTACCAAGCAAAGCTTCGTTGTGACACAAGGCAGAAAGTAAAGAAACACAATGATGATCAAAACTCATTAAACATGAGCAACTGATCTAGAGAAACAAGTTTGAAAATTATTAAACTAACTCAAAGTTCCCAATAAAAAGGTTTAATTGCTGTTAGATCTATGATTACCGCATTTTAATATCTAATATCTTGTAAATTTTTTTTTACATTAAATACATTATTCGGTCTGTTGTCCTCATCTTATTCACGACGTTTCGGCCGTTGTAAGCTACGGGGATCTTCAGGTGATATACGGTGAAATTTCGAAACGAAGCCTTTATTTGGTCCACTGGGGTAGTTTGTAAATATTCTCCGGGCCATTCCCTTTTCTGGATATCTCAGTTTCAGTTAATTCTCTTTCAGTTAATTCGGTGTCTCAGTGGACTAAATAAAGGGTTCGGTTCAAAATTCAACCGTATATCAGCTGAAGAAGCCCGGAGCGTATAACGACGGAAACGTCGTGAATAAGACAAGATGAGAATAACACTCGGAACAATGTAAATATTGTAAGCATATTCACGACCTTTCAGCTGTCGTAAGCTCCGGCCTTCTTCAGGTGATATACGCTGGAATTCCAAAGCGGCCTCTTTATTTAGTCCACTGGGGTAGACAATAAGGATGAGGACAACAATACAAACATTGTAAATAGTGTAAATATTTACAATACCTCATCTCAGAAATACAGATATATGTTAAAATCATTTAATGTTTCATTAAATTTTATCAAATCTGCAACGAATTATTTAAGTTTGTTGAATTGATTAATAAATGATAGTAGTAGTAGTAGTCAGAATAAAATAAAAATACTACTACTACTACTACTAATAATAATAATGATACTTATTGTTATAATTATTATTATTATCATTTGTAGTAGTAGTATAAACCTAAGAAAATTAATATTTTTTTACTGTTATTCTTAATATAAATAGAAAATTATTCAAATGTGTCTCTTATGGTTAGTTCTATCCAGCGATGCTTCGAGTAGGAAATTGAACTGGACTTTATATAATGAGAAAAAGAACTTTAAAAAATAAATGTCTTGCTAAAAAAAAGTTGTTTATACAGACATTTCAAAGTTAAAGAAAACTAATATTACATTATAATTGTCCCTGCTGTAGGAAGAGTAGTTAATTTAAAAACGAAAATTTCCTAAGACATTATTTAGAAGTGAACTACTTCTGTATTGAAAAAAAAAGATTGGCTAATAGTATGGAAATTTATTAACGGCCTGGTAGCCTTTTGGTCACTGACTCGTGTGACTAGCACTCTGGTCAAGCTGGATTCGAAAAGGCGAAACACAATATTCTAGTAAACAGAACATTTCATCATTTGTCTAACCAGGAAGTATTTTCCGTCTCACCTGGAGGAAATCTCCATTGACAAGAATTTCGAAGGAGGAAAATCATGAATACGGGTCATACTTAAAGAAAAATTATGAAGTTCCTGTTTCAAGAAATGTTTTTCTTTATGTTGTATGACATTTTTCTACCAGATCTTTATTCAATTTCCCGAATTGTCAAAGTTGGAAATGGTTTTAAGCTGTCGTGTACCCTATAATATTTGCAACCCTATGCATCTTCCCACAAACGCATAAATAACGTTAAACCACCGCCACTGCTATGTGATTTTTTAAAAATCAGATGTACCCCAAGTAAGGCAATAAAGCCACTAAGACATTGTGTGTGAATGAATTAGAAAACAGAAACATCAATAAGTGCGAGAATAATAGAAGAGTAATCAGAAAGACAGTAGATACCTATTGGCATTACAATTGGATTTTTGAAGATTAAAGTTCACTGAAAACCATGAAGACAGAAGAGTTTTCCACAAGCAAGAAGTGCGCGAGAAGAAACTGCTAGCATAGAACTTACGGTTACATCTAACCAGCTCAACTGTAAATAGTGAGAGCTCTTTGTCAGTCTAGGACTGCGCTTAAATTCATAAAGTATAGTTATCGAGAGCGAAGAGTTTCTCCGAACAATTTTCATGAAAGTATTTATAGAAAAGATACATTGAGGCAACTTTACGATGTGGGTAATTGACTGGTACGCTAAATCTGACCAATAATATT